AACTCCAGCCGGCCAGCCAGCTGCATTGTAAAGAACTTTGGGAACCGTAGCAAGGTTGGCCTCGCAGATTCGTTCATCATCCGTCATAAAGATCCTCCTAGCCTCTGCGAGCTTTGAGATCCATGCTCGGACAGCCAGGCCTCTCTTTGTAACTTGAAGGCCGGCAAAACCGGGTAGCCCTTGGGCTGTGGCGATGACTTGATGTAGGCCACTGGAAGAGGCTGGCCAGAATCTCGGCAGGACCGTCATGTCATCAGGTTGCGCTGACCGGTCAAGAAAGTCTCGTACAAAGATCTGGGACACTGCTCCACTGGGCACTTTAACGATGCACTGAAGCTGATAACCCCCTGAAGGGTTGCGATTGACACGAAAGCCATAGTACTGGGCAGCTTCGACAGCAGCGGCACCGAGGAATTCAATGGCCTTCTCTCGAAAATGGTGCAAAGGCTGCTGCTGCACATAGCCCAACACTTGCTTGTCCGTACAGCGGGAATCGAGCTCAAAAACAAGCTCCGATACAAGTGGAGTAGTAAAGGAACATTTTGGTTTCGGCGCGGCGAATTTGATGTCTCCGTCGATCAAAAGGTACTGCACCAGCCGTTTGTAGCTGGATTCTGCTTGGGATCACCAAGTACGACCTCGTAAGGTCCGTGAACTCGTGCAGCCAAGGCTCCATACACTGCGACATCTGCAGCAGGCATGACGATGATAGACGGCGCAGGAGGTTGTGTCTTCATGATGTCAGCAATTGCACCCTTGGAAGCTAAAATGACTCCCCCACGGCTTTTCGAGGCTTGCAATCGATGAATTTGAGGGAGCGATTTGTTGGCTGAGTCGGCAAACGGGTGGCCTGCTTTGGAAGATTGGCGAATCGCCTGAGCCCACGGATATGGACGGAGAGAGGGTCGACAGGACCTACAGCCGGTGATGCGGGGGGCATACTGGCATCCGCGTCTTGCGCCCCTGCTGACATGTATTCTGCCGGTCCAGGTTTGGATAAAATGCGGTGCAAAAAGCTGGCTCTTACAGAGAAGGCTAGTTTACGGAGACTCGTATCCTCTGTGTTGTCGGCCCAATCTGAATTTCCGTGATCCAAAATCAAGGCAAGGGCTTGGCTGAACTGAGACTCGGAAAGGGCTTGTGTCAGCTGGGTCGACACTGCAGGAACGGGTATGCGGTAGCGATCAAAGAGTCTCTTGATCAAAGACCATCCGCACATCCCCTCGGGTGTGCTGATATCACTGGCAACAAAAGTGACATTGTTGTCATGGACAGCGAAGAGCCTTCCAAAGGCTTCTGCGATGGTCTGTGGATTGACATCACTGGGCAGCGAGTTTGTGAACAGCACGAATAATGTCTGACCCTGTGTGAAGACATCGCATTGGACCCAGTGCCTGCCGACACGTAAAGGGACAACGAAATCGGTGTCAAGTGCCGAGGTGTTTCGCCTGAAAAGGGCGACAATGTGGCAGCACGGGCCTCCGGGTTGATCTCAACGGAGTGGACATTGGTCGACAAAGGCATGCTGATAGCTGAAGAGACTGCACAGTTGTGGACCGAGCAAGGTAGGCGAGAAAGCGAGTGCGACATTGGGTAGCAAACCGAAAAAGGGGCTGATCAGCACCCGAAGCACGCCATTCCTCTTCACTGGCTTCAATAGCGATGGCGGGACGGATGTCATGTCAACTGGGTCTTGCCAATCTTCGTACGGCAACATGGCACTCCATCGTTTGAGCAGAGTCCATCCACACCGAAATGGTATTGTTGGGAAAGCCAAATTGCTGACCATCACATGGCACAAGCTCGTTGATGCGAGAGTCCCAAAAAACCGGTGTCAGAAATTGAATGTGTGGCGTGGACCAATTGAAGATCGATGTAATGCGCCACACTTCATCCGATGCAGCCCACCCTTCCGTGTTGCATGCGAACTCACAGCGATCGGCGAAAGTCGCTCCTGGCAGAAGAACATGTCTTTTCTTGCACACGTCATGGACTCCTCCAGCACGGATCGTCCTTGGCGAGGTGACAAAAACATCCCCATCTTGTGGAGTGCATTGCTGCTGAATGGGCAATCCATTGTGCAGCTGGCATGAGTCTTTCGAAAAGGACCCTGGGACTACCCGGAACTCGGAGGTACCATCTGGAAGAGGAGTTTCGAAAAGCACAGTGGCTGAGTCAGCAAAACCTGGCTGGTTGCAGTGTCTCACAATGAAGCCATGTGTATCAGTTCTCCATCGGAAGTTCTTGTGTAGCGGAATCACGACCGCAGCATCAGATGGGACTAAACGGTCAAAAGCTGTCTTGATACGGGCGGCGAACTGATCTTCAGTGCCATCAAATGGCGTGAAAGCCCATAGATTCTGGCCTGCCCAAATGACGAATGTGCTCCCTGGATAAGTGGTCGTGCAATTGAGGTTCTCAAGGTTCTCGATCGCTTGAGTGAAGAGCAAATCGTCAGGATCAAAAGGTCCAAAGGGCAGCGGAGAGCCCTGAAGGAAAGTCGGCACTCCAGGAAGGCTCACCGAATTCGCAGCAGCGGCTGGCGCAGGAGCAGGGTCACATGCATGGATGGAACACAAGAAGTAACCACCAAGGTACAAGTCGCACTCACTCTCCGTTGAAAGAAAATCGAGGGCAAGGTCTGTGGGAGCTGGTTGCTTCGTAAAGTGCTCAACACGGAGTTGCATCATCAAGTGCAATTGCAGCCGAAACAGCATGGCCCCAAGTTCACGAAAGTTCAAATGCTGACCAATTTCAACAGGAAAGGTCTCCTCAAGGAAGATGACTCTTGCGTTGGGGCGAGTAACATGGAATCTCGGCTTCGGGAGCATATGAACGAATTGGACAACATTCCGGATCCACACATGATCGTCTTCAACAATCACAACCGTGACATCTGCATGACATACGGCTCAGCCAACATTTACGAAGGCACTCTTGGATCGGGAAGCGCTGCTTAGTGATCGATGAAAGCATGATCAAAAAGCACATCAAAGCGTGTGGGACGCTGATTGCGTTGTCAATCTGGTGAAATGCACTGCTCAGATCAAGTGGAATTGCAATGTCGGTAACAGTTCCTAACAAAGCAACAAATCGCACCGGATCGAGAAAGAAGAAATCACCATTCTTTTCGGTCACACTGGCAAAGATGCCCCTGCGTTCCAAGTGGCCTCGATCCAGGTTGTGTTGCTGGGTGTAAGACGAACACAGCGTTGCAAGTGGTTCCTGAGGCGAAGGAATCCTGGCACGAATGACCTGGAGGACAGTCACTGATGGATGGAACTTTGCTCTCTTGCCAACAGGCAAAAGTTGCAGCTCTCCATAAGTCAAGAACTGATCTGGGGAGAGTCTGAGCTGGTGTTGGATCTCCCTGGGCAACGTGAAGGAGTACCTGTCGTCAGTCCAACGAACGATTGGCGGCACCATGAGTTTGAACAAGGTCGCAACAGCCGTTGCAGGAATGTCACAACGAACCCACAGGGCAAGCCATCGGTTCCTATGGTGGTGTGCCAAGTAGTGATATGGCGTGACTTGTTCCCAGGCTAACTTATAACCAAGTTGGTTCATGAGGGCGCCAAAAACATGGAAGTGGCGATGAGATTTAATCTCATCAGCACACTCAAACATTGCAGCTACCGGTTGCGTGGCAAAGAGCATCTCGACACTCTCAAGCAGTGCAAAACCATGTGGGGAATCGAGGCCCCCACCAGTCCCACCCTTGGACCATGACACGCATGGAGGACTCAATGTTCCAACCAGGTTAAATGGCATTCTCACGGCATGTAGGAGGCTGAAATCAGAAATGGATCCTTCCACAATGATCTTTTTCTGCGTCGCAAAATCTGTTTTCGGTTCCAGAGGTGCCTTTACCACCAGAGCCGTATGGTTCAAGGCGCAGGTCTTGATCACCGTTGCATCCCAGTCCAAAAATACCTGTCGATCCAGCACAAATCCAACATTGGCCGTCTCCAGCCATTCGGCGGCTTGCGCCCACCCCCCGTAGCCACCTGCAAAGAGGTGTAAAAGGTTCCAATGAAACTCAGAGGCAACCTCGGGGTAATGAGCAATTGTTCCACCATTCTGCAGCTCAATGACCAAGCCGTCGTCGGAGGCAGATTTCTTTACACCAGCAATCAAAATCTTCTCGCCTGAGCAGACAAGCGGATAATGGTTATTCAGTCCTGGCACACGGATGCGTGCATTGGCCAGCAAGGGTCCATCCCATTGTAAACCGGCTTGATGATGCAAGGAGCACAGCGAGCCGTGAATCCAGTCCTGAGAGACCTTGTCAACGAGCAACGCCACCATCAACCGATGACCCACTGTCCAGCTTGTTGCTTCGTGCGGAAACTTCTGAAAGATTGCCAGTACACGTCGGTCCAGCTCGGAGTCCCTCAAAGATTGACCCCAAGGGAAGTCGGCCATGAACACGCAGCCCACAGGAACTAAGAGTCCTAGTTGCCTATCTGCGTGCCTTGTCGACACCAGACCTCGCTTTGGCAGCGACAGCCTGGTCCTGGGGGCCTAGACCTCCCTGAGGCAAAGGCAGCTTGAGCCCGATGCCTACTGGGGGCTCCTGGCATCGCTACTAGGAGCAAAGACGCTACTGGGGGCTCCTGGCATCGCTACAAGGAGCAAAGACGCTACTAGGGGCTCCTGGCATCGCTACTAAAAACATACCCTACTGGGGGCTCGTGAGGGGCTTGTGGCATTGCTACTAGGAGCAAAGCAAAGACTCTACTAGGGGCTCCGGCATCACTACTAGGAGCAAGGACGCTAGTAGGGGTTCCTGGTGCTACTAGGAGCAAGGACGCTACTACAAGCTCCTGGCATCGCTACTAGGAGCAAGGACGCTACTAGGGGCTCCTGGCATCGCTACTAGGAGCAAGGACGCTACTAGCGGCTCCTGGCACCGCTACTAGGATGGAGAACTAAAAACAGTTTTGGAGATTCCCGTGGTCCTATGCTCGCTAGAGTGAGTGAGTCTCTAAGCTTGCGGCGATGAGGAAATCAAAAATCATCGCAGTGCGGAATACATCCCTGCGGAAGACAGACCCGGGCAACCATCTCCATGGCATATACGCCTGGCTCCCAACAGCTGTTTTCTTTGAGGATGAAACCATGAAGAGTGGTAGCGAGTCGTTAGGTGGTGGTTAGGTAGCCAGGTTCGTGGCGAGACAAGAAGCTACTACATGCAGCACACAGTGGGGCAGGGTGCTTCAAAGAAGCTGATCCACCCTGAGAAGCTCCTTTGAAGAGCAATCACTGCATGAAATGGTTCCCAGATTGCTTGAGAAACTATCAAAAGCCGTCAGTCAGCTTCTGCGGCAGGAAAGGCACCTGTGTAACATGTTGAAATCACGCTGACAATCTGTTTCCGGACTTGTTCGTCCTCAGTCCTTGGCTCCACGTGTTTCCAACAGTATATGCCGTAGCCAACAACCAACCTCGAACACGGAACAGCCCTGAGCGCAACTAAGTTTCAGCCCGCTGTCTTGTTTGGCTGACAAATCCGCATCCTCGGTGCATGCTTGTGCATGTATTTGTTGCTCAGCCCTGGCAGCACTGCAAGACATCGCACTATCGGTAAAGGACTGCAGGCCAGTATCAATGCACAGGAGAACCAAACCTGGGACGCAAGTGGCCTGTGGCCTCAAAACCTGGAACCTGATATGTGTACGCTGGCCACACTGTAGGCCTTGATCCTTAAGGTGGGAGGGTTTCTGGAGGGGATTTGTGGGAAGGATTTCGGAAGGGCTTTGCCGGGGAATTCTGGCCTTGTGGAGTTCAGTGGGTGGTTCCTACAACACCGGGATGCAAGATCTTTTTGTATACTAGAACCCTCTTACATCCACACCTCTCGTGCAAAGCGAAACCTTTCATGTTGACAAGGCGAAAGCGAACGCTTGCTTCCAACTCCAGCCAGAACAGGAAACCGTTCATTCTGGCCCCGTCCCGGTCAAAACGCCGCAGCCAGCCCGACTCCTTTCAGCAATAGCTCCCTTTGCAAGCCCGACCACTCCACCCCCACCCAGACGCCCCACCACTCCAAAAATCCGCCTTGTTATATAGCCCTACCACTCCATCCCTTGCACCCCCACTGCCACAACCGAAAACCGTTCCGTTCTGAGCGTGTGTTCTTAACCATTACCACTCCATCCTGGCCCACCCCCCGCCGCAATTGGAAACTATCCTGACCCAAATTATTTCGACAGATTTGACGACGAATGCTCTACTCACAAACTTATAGAGTATATGAGTTCTTGTTAAACCTCTACCTTTCGATGAATCTTGACGCAAATCCTACCTCTTTCCTGGTCACTACCTCTTCCATTGTTGGTGTCTGCCTTCAGGATTTGGAGCTATGAGGAAAGATCATCTTCTTCAAGGAAGTGCAAAAGGAAAGGGTAGAATAATTGGCACTGGCATCCAGCGTCATCTCGTTTCCAAGGTTCTACTCTGCGATTGCCCGATTTTCCAACACCGGTGATCAGGAATTGGGGCAGAAACTGAAGACTGCCATTTGTGGAAGTCATGAGGACACGGTCAATAAAGGAGTTTTGCTCGTTGACGGTGTTCACTATTTGTCTCCACTCTTGTTTGATGCGAATGATAGGGGTTTGGGTACATATTTGTATCAAAATATGTTTCCTAGTCTATCTCTGCGTTGAGGCGGCTACGGTGTTTGCTGGTCTTGCTGTGGTTTGTCCTACGCTCCTATTGCACCGCCACCCGGTCCTGTGCCACTGCCCAATTGCCCACCCCACCGCACTTCACCATTCTCAATGCATTTCAAGTTCATGATATGCTGGACAACAGGTCATTACATTGCACGCACGGGGGTGCGTGTGATACATACATACATACATACGTGCATACGTACATACGTACATACTCACATACCTACTTACATATCATTACATGCTTACACAACATTACATAACATTACATTACATTGCAAAACATGACAAGTGCCACTAAAGGTCCAAACGCTCCAGCACGGTTGTTGTTGGTGGGTCAGAAGCCGTTGGCTCTTTGGCATGAGGCCGGACACTGTGTGGGAACACAATGATCAGTTTTGGTTTCTCACTCTATATTGTGTGAAACACTCCGGCTACCCCAGGCTATCCGAAAGAAACAGTATTCAGACAAAGCACACCGTGGATCTGGATCCACGCCCGTTCGATCCAACCTTAAGAATAGGTCCAGACCTTCTCACTGTGTCAAAACCCTCCTTTCGATTGCTGGAGGACTTCATCACGCACGGTTAGGTGAGCTTCGCGTTTATCTTCGAGACTGTTGCTTTGGACCTCACTGGGATCATCGAAACTGGCTAGAAAACCGAAAAGAGTGGCATACATGCTGGCAGCCGCACGGCAGGCTTACATCATCTTTGAAAATCATTCTTGAAGGCCGGTCCTCCTGTACGAGTCTGCTGACACACGCAGCACCGGGTATGGAACAGAGATCTCACATTTGGACTTCTTTCGATCACCTGCTCCACCCGAAACACGCTCTGTCTTTTGTCTAGGAGACTTCAACTGTGATCTCCCTTCGACCATCCCTCAGAACACCCTTCCTGACTTTCGGTCTCGTCGAGGCCACAGGATCCGAGGACCCAAGCGTCCTGATGGGCTCACTAGAACGACCGACGAGCCCCGCATTGCTTTCGTCCTCTGCGCGCTGAGCTCAGTTGATCAAGCCTCCAAACAAATCCTGATGCTTCCTGAACGCTGTCTGATTTGAGCGCGTTTCATGTTCCCTCTGCCTGTTCGACGGTTTTGCGCTCCTTGGCTCAAAGAGACAAACGCCGTACTGCCACGCGCACTGCAACCTTGTGCTGGGAGGCTTTTGTGGACAGCAATGCCATGGCTTGGCAACATGCCAGGCTGGACTCGGACAGTGGCGTTCAAAAGATTCACAGCTTCCTGCTCCTGTTTGGGAACCAACTGCTTCACGGGCTCACTACAAATGGGCTCTTTGGAGGCAAGTTTGACAAACAAGCAATTGCTCCATTCACAGTCTGTTTCATGCCTGGAAAGCCTTCAGTTGCTTCCGTAAGATAGAAAGGCACCATAAAAACACTCCAAGCAAGTTGGCAAGTCCGTGAGGCTACTGGCGCAGCCCAAGCTCATGACAGCTTTCGGGTCTTCAACACATCATTCGACGGCTTGCGCCCAAGACGGCTAAGCGTAAGATCAATGGCGAATGGCCTGAATGCTTCAGGGCGCGTGGGTGGCTTGTTGGGCTTGGCCATCCACATCAGCCAGGCCGCCTTCCAAGCGTGCGGGATGTGTGGTGGGGAAGTGGATTTGAGGCCAGAGCAGGTCTGCAATGGCATAGGCACGGGGTCGAAGAGTGCTCCCTGGCACGAAAGGATGTCCTAATGTCTTGATGGGCGCAATGGCTAGGTGTGTGGACTACTTCAGAAAATCAGAAAAATCAAATGATATATAATATATACCAGGGCCGGGGCCTGCGATGGAAGATAAATAAATCCAACGCAAGTCCAGACTGGGAATCTCTGACATAACGAACAAGAGAAGCATGTGATTCTGCAGGGCCGAACAATGCCCATCAGTTCCGCTCAAACAATTGGAAAATGTGTACTCTGCTTGCCGCCTGCCACGAAAACTGCACTTCGAAGTAAAACAGCTCCGATCCCTTGCGCCTGTCACGAAAAGTCGACTTTGAAGCACCAAAACACGAGGTTTCCCTTGCGCCTGCCACGAAAAGTGACCACCATGTGCGAAAATGCGCACGGCGCCACAACGGGAGCGCAGTCGCTAGAAGCACCCGCCGCGGCCACCCAGACTTTGCGAGCCTGCGCAGTCGAAATGCACTTCGAGGCTTTCGAGAGGCATGAATATGTAAATAGCAACGAATTAGCCGGACACGGCCGCGACGCACACCTATCTAAGCACACCTGCCTTTCCTACCGTCAGAACCCTTAGTGTGACCACACTGTTTGGGGAAAAATACATACACACTTACCATTACATTACATTACAGTAACAGTACAGTACAGTACAGCACATACATTACATACATTGCGCGCGTGCACGCATTGCTGAACAAATATATCAACCCTCTAACGCGCAAGCAGCGGGCAGCGTAAATTTCTTGAGCCAAACAAGCGATCGAACGCGTACGACGCGAGGCGACATATTGTCACCCCTCCTAGGTTTCATGGAAGTCTTCCTTGAAACCTCACATGGTCTGCTTCGCAGTCGTAGCTCTACCTGTCTGCGCACGCCGCCCCATTGCCTTCATGTCACGGGCTTTGCGCACACATCGCTTAGATTGTCACTAGTCTACTAGTGGATACAGCACGGAGATCTATCCCCTTGTTCTTCACTTGCTGTCTGAGTGTCTCGTTTTGCCGAGACCCCTCCTTGAACACACGCCACGCGCCGCTGACGAATCAGATCGTACAACGACCTTTACAGGAATGCGCCATTCACGATACAAGGCTCTCAGCCCGAGTCCTGCAGACGCTGCCTTCACAATCGAGTACAAGGTGAGACCCGGAAGTTATTGAAGTTAACTGGAAGTTGTATAAGTTGTTTTGAAGTTATTCTAAAAAACAATGAAAATAATTTCGAGATAACTTCCTGATAGCTAAAACACTTTCCAAAATCAGACTTTTGGGAAAATGTATGTTTATGTACAAAACGAGCAAATCTGTGTATGTTTTCAGCGTGGACTGTATGCACTTTTCTTTGTTTCTTGATGCTTTAGGCTATAATTTTCTGCACAAGTATATATATATATATCTTGAATATTTTTCGATCGGCTGAGGGACAGGAAGTTCTCCCCCATTCTTTTGATATTGCCTTTGATATATGCATATATATATATTATTATATATACACCGACCGCGCGCTCGCGGATTGTTTTTCGCGCGTGGGACTCCTCCGTCGCGCGGTACCCTGCCGCGGACTTTGTGGTCTGCCGCGCTCTGCGCCGCGGCGGCTGCGGTTACCCAAGCAGCACCACGCTGCGTTCACCCTCGCGACGCCACCACGAACACACGGGAGGCGAGCGGCCCGACCGCAACTCCAATCTCCTCATGGCCGCCGGCGGACCGCAGCGGCAATGCGTCCAGTCGCCAGAGACCCGCGGCATCTGCGCCGCAACCGCCCAAATCTTGGCGGTGTTGAAGTCGTGGCAGAAACCCTCCAGCACATATACCGCGTCACCGACGCGCAGGTGGTCACCCGCTTGCAGTATCCGCGGCCCAGCCGCGAGGAGTGAGGACGCGCCGCGAGTCACGCCGCAGCACGCGAGGATATCCGTGCGCTGTTCCGACCCCTCCGGCAGTAGCGGCGGCTCCAGCCGCCAGGACGTGTTGTCGGGATCGACGGGCGGCCCCTCTGCCGCCAGCAGAGCATCCTGTAGGTATCGCCACAGCACGCCTGTGGACAGCGCCCCCCGCGCGGTTCACCAGATGCGCGTAGTGGTCGGCAGTCGACCCCTTATACCGCTGATGGCAGGCCTCCACCGGGAACATGTCGACGTAGTGGCCAAGGTTCCGGAGTTGCTCTGGGTGGTGTAGCCTATAGTGGTGCTTTGGTCGCGCGCTGGCGGGGTATGCTGCGTGGAAGGCCTGCTGGCGCACAGCCTGCG